GAAAAATCAATTATAATAGTTTTTGATAGCTTGGTCTTAATGAACTTTCAACAAACAAGACCATTTTATATTTTTTAACGCACCATTTTCTAGGATGGTGTTATTCTTGGAGCAGATACGCGTTCAACTAATGGACCGATCGTAGCAAATAAGAATTGTGAAAAAATTCATTATCTTGCACCCAACATGTATTGCGGTGGAGCCGGTACAGCAGCTGATACCGAAAATGCTACCGCAATAATCAGTTCTCAATTGGAATTGCATCGATTGGCGACCGGAAGGCAAGCTCGCGTTATGACTGCGGTGACAATGTTAAAACAAATGCTTTTTAGGTTTGTTTTCATATAATCTACCCTTTATATTATGTGATATATTATGTGATGTTTTTATATTAATATATATTTATATTAATACGTAGGTATCAAGGACATATGGGCGCAGCGTTGATAGTTGGTGGTTACGATATATCTGGACCTGGTCTGTTCACTGTACATCCTCATGGAAGCACAGATAAATTACCTTACGTGGCTATGGGTAGTGGTTCATTGGCTGCTATGTCTATACTTGAAAGTAGATGGACCAAGGATTTGGAGGTTTGTTTTTTTCGCAGTTACTTTATATTATATGCATATATATATATATATATATATATATGTATGTATGTATACATAATAACCATAAATAACATTATATAACATTATATAACAACATTATATAACAACATTATATAACAACATTATATAATATTATATAACATATACATGACTTCATTTAATATTGTATTATAATGGGGTTTTTTATTTAGCGGGATGATGCCATTGAAATAGTCAAGGATGCTATTGAAGCCGGTATTTTTAATGATCTTGGATCCGGTTCAAATGTAGATGTTAATATAATTGAGAAAGATAAAGTAGAAGTCTTGAGAAATTATTCTAAACCTAATGAACGAGCACATAAAGAACAAACTTATAAATATAAGAGAGGAGCAACCGGTAAATTTAATATTAAATATTAACTATATTAACAATTTCTTAATTATAATTAATTCTATTAAAATTTTTATAGCATATCTCAAGGAATCTATTAGAGAGTTTATCGTTACGGAAGGTGATGCTATGGATATTTCATAAATATCATAAACGTGTAGGGTTGGTAAAGTCCTTAGGTCTTTATACAAATTTGTAATAGTTTAAAATGAAGTATAAATTGTTAAAAATAATAAAATTCATTTCAACTGCAAATTTCTGCTATTGCATAATTTTGGACAACCTAATCAATATATATACTAGTATAATTTCAATAAAGTTTTATATAAGATTATTTAATATATATAGTTCATATAATATTATTACATATTCTAATAGGTAAATGTCGATATGTACATTGTGAACTAGCCGCAGCAAAAAAATAAGACTCGGGACCTTAATGCGCATTGATCGAAAAAGCGGAGGCATTTAATAAATGCCTTTATGGTGGGGACTAAAGCCATTATCATGTAAATGAGTATGAATTACTCATCGTTAGTCATAGATTCCTCGATACTCTAAATAGAGATTCTAATCGTAGTAGCAAAGCCCCAAAGCTCTCTGTAATGTACAAATAACCATCGACTTCATGTATCTGAAAACAAGTGAAGTGTTATAATAATAAAGACCATCTAATGATAAACTCCGGGGATCCTAGTGGCAGTAAGATCCTTTGTTCTCGGACCAAATCTTCCACGCCTTCTTTCAAGTGGCCTTTAATTTTGTTGTGTCTTAGGTTAGTCACCCCAAATCCGCCCTTTTACAACATATAACAGACCTACATCAGGAAAATTTTAAATCGGTTTGCAATCGATTAATATCAATCGATAAGCAGCACCCCTGCCGATTACCAGCAAAGCTGCTAATTAAAATCGATTAGAATCGCTTTGATTGAAATCTATTGATATCAAAACTAAATTAAAATCAATTGTGCATCGATTAGCTACCAATATCGATTTTCCTAATCGATGGCGATCGCTGGTAATCGATATCCGCCCTATTTAAAAATTTTCTGATGTAGGTTCTAGGACTAAGTCTTGGACTGGGACTAAGTCTTGGACTGGACCTAAGTTAACTAAAGTCCTAAAACTGGTTTTATAAGGACTTGGTCCATAAGTCCATGCAGTAAGACCTACAGGTTATGAGGCCAGGACTGGACTTTACCATCCTTATAAATGTATGTTTGCATCGATTAACAAATAGACGCTTTGATATTTCATAAATATCTCATAAATGTGTCGTAAAGATTTGTTAGCATCGATTAACAAATACGTTTTTTATACGTATATATTGATTAATAATATTCCTATTTGAGAATATAAAATATTTTTAAGAATATACAGACAAAAAAAAAATAATTTATTGTACGTACGTATTGAATCGTAATTACCAAAATTTCCAAAATTTTCAAAAAATTTAAAAAATTCCAAAAAGTATCAAAAATAGAGAAACTTGCAGGTTGACTTGCAGGTTTGTTACAATTGTTTATAAAAAATTTAGCGTAAAATGTAAATAGAATCCTTGCAGCATAATCGAAAACTATAAGAATCCATGTGTACTACAGGAATTATTTCAAACATAACTAGTTTAGAACTTTTTTAAGATGGACATTGGTTGTTTAAAAAAAAAAAAATTGAAGTTCATTTTATTTTCTGAAACGAAAAAGGTTGATCTCCTAATGACATCATAATACATGTTTACAATTTGAGAAACAATGACACATTACTTTGAATAATAAAAAAAATCGATACATATTGTTTAAATTTTTGAAGATATTTTTTTTTAAAAAAATTGTGTGATACTGTTTATTTCCTCTATAAGATTTTTAAATTATATAAACCTGTTACATATCCTTTTTTTCGTATAATTCATAATAAACTCGTTTTTTTTTTTTTGATATGAGAAAAAAAGGACAAATTTATATCAATATTATATAAAACGTTTATTGTTGTCTAAAATAAAAATGGTCATAATTTAACGTTGAATGTGTTAAATGTGTTAAATGTAATAATGACTCAGTATAGTGATCAACGTTTTAAAATAATTAAAAATTTTTATGCATGATGATTCACCAAACTTTTTTGAATAATCACGCAAGTCTAAAAAGTGATATTTAAAGTGATATTAAAGTAGAATCAATTCGATAGTTTAATATAAATTTAGTTAGTTATTTTTTTTAAACGGAGAAATAACTCCCGTGGTACAAATAGTTCTTTAGACTATTTTGTGTTACCCGAGATTTTTTTATCTTTTGGATCTTAATTATTTAGCATTTACGAATAAGAATTAATCAATAGCATTTACAATGAATTTATTTAGCATTTATAGTTTATTAGTAATTAGTAATATCGTTATTATTATACGTACGTACGTATGGAATATAAAAGATTGTTTGGAAGTTTTTATCTGTTATTACGTACACACGTACGTACGTACGTACGTACGTACTATACGTACGTACGAATATCAAATACCAGATACATCAAACATGTAACCAATCAAAAAAGTACCTGTAAGATAGCAATGATACAAAAAAAGTGACTCATATGATCTCGTGTGTTTTAAAAAGATTTGAAATAATGAAATAATGACGAAATTATTGTCAAAAAAAGACAAATACATGGTGTAAAAAAAAAAGAAATGGGGAAAAATAAATAACGAATAAGGTATGTTTTACATTTGAAAAATGAAATAGATACAATTGCAGAATTAACCATCACATGAACATGGGTCAAAACATACCGGACATAACCGAAGATTCAAATTTACTTTCAACGTAATTTGATATTGTAAACAATAATTAGTAATGATATGTGAATGTTAAATTACAAATGGAAAGTCATAAAGAATTTTTTTTCTAACCTTACATAGAATTAAATGTATAAAATAGGTTAAGTAAATCTTTGATCTAGAACCTTTATCACGGGGACCTCCGTATACGACTTTAACTGGAACTTTTTTTTTTATTACAAATCAAGGTTAGATTCTAGAAAGAAAGAAAGAATTCATGAATTTCACAAAGAAAGTATTTGTGAATAACGATAAGTAAAAAAAAAATCTTTATAAAGTCATTAGGCGCCATGTACAGGTGTAATGCGTGAGTAATGAGTGACCTTTAAAGAAAATTGACAGTTTTTTTTTGGCGATCCGTGATATAATATTTTTGATGGATTTTGATGAGTGGCTTGATAAAGAAAAATTTTCAATCGATTTTCTTTTCCACATGGAAGATTACAATAATGCCGTGGCTTGAAACATGAAGTGCCACCACACACCCCTTAATTTTTTAAAAGCAAATTAAAGGAGTCATTCTGATCTGATTAATAACATAAAAAAATCATTATACATGTTTGTTTACACACAAAATGTACGAACAGTTAGTACGTATGTGCATATGATATTAAAGATCGGGAATTCCTAAGAAAACAGTTTATACATAATTTATTACATAAGTATGTTATTTGAAGTGGCAAAAGTCACATTAATGTTGCATAAGCCATTGTGTGGCACATCAACCACACATCCACAAAGATTCAAAAGTCGTGTAAACTTCTTTTTGGAACATACCATTCAATATATGTAACGGTAAACGCAGATCTAATAAATAAATATTATATCGTGTATACTTATATATATATATATATATAACGATATATATATATATATATATATATATATATATCGTTATATAACTTATAGTACTTATGGTTATAAAGATGCTTATCTAGAGTAACCTTACTTATCTCTTGTGATTTATTGGGTAAACCTTAAATCATTTAAGACAATTGGATTCACAATCGGACTGGCTTGTTTCCCTCCCGCCAAACCTTTTAAAAAGGTGAATGATACGTTACACGGGAACAGACCTCCCAGAGTAAGTAAACCCGCAGTTACCGCAGAAATCAACAAGTATGCATGTAACATTTGCAATCAAAAGAATTTTAAAATGACTCATGAATAGCGTCAGTCAAAGATAAGTCAAGATAAATCAAGATAAAAAAAAAGTTTAAGACGGAATCAGACGGAATCTAGACAGTCAAGGTTCAACCAATTGATTAACTTATTATAGTAATTTTAAAGTATTACAAATATACAGATATATACATATCACATGATATACATGTACATGATACGTATTGGCGTGATAGTTTCAGTAGTTCCGTAATTTTAGTTAAAGTTTACAAATCAAAATTTATCATTCCAAACCCCTCCCTGGAGGAACCCCATTGATGTACTGATTATGGTAAACAAAACGTAGGTACGTATTAAGTTCATATGATTCACATAAAGGGTTAATTAATCCAAAGAAGAACAATCTGACAGCCCGAATAATATTAATAATATTAATTAATAATAATGATATTATTATTATTAATAATATTAATAATAATATTAATAATATTAAGGAAAGTTGTATAAATAAACTCGCTTTAATGAAAAAAAAGGTGTGGATAAAAAAAAAAAAACTTTTTTAGCTTGCATAAGTGTAATGGTTCACCAATGACCTGAAAATTTTTATGTGCATAGCCTATCAACTTTCCGCATATAATGGTAATTCTTTTGATTTCTAAATCTGTTGAACAACGCCGAATCGATCCGTATAATCGTAATCGGATGTTTTTTTTATTGAATTAGCTTGTCGAGATCGTCGAGATCGAATTATATACTGTACGTATTATGTATGTAAAAATTATTATCTTCATCGTTCATGCTACAATAACTACAATAACTACAATAGCTACTTAGCTACTGTAGCAATTAGGAAAAAATCTTTTTAGCATACATCCACCACAAAAAAATTTGCTGTTAAAAAAATCAATGTTTAAAAGATCATTAAAAATGTAAGGTTTACCGCTCTGTTGGTATTTAGTAATCCTATTCCATTCTTGCATATTCTTGTATATTTCTTGGATATTATTGGATATTCTTGTATAGTCTTATACAGTCTTGTGCAGTCTTATACAGTTTTATACAGTCTTGTACAGTCTTATACAGTCTTGTACAGTCTTATATATCTTTGTACAGTCTTTATACAGTCTTTGTACAGTCTTTGTACAGTCTTTGTACAGTCTTTGTACAGTCTTGTACATTCTTGTATAGTCTTG